AGCTTTCGTGTCTATATATATATATATATATATATATATATATATATATATATTTATATATATACATTTGTCTCAGGCCTGCAGAGGGCATCAGTGATGTGTTTGTTGGAAAGGCCTGCAGCTCTGCCTCCAGCTGCTCTCCTGCTCCTGTCACTTGGTAATTAGCCGCTAAACGCCTCCCTCTTAATTATCTGCTGTCTGTGCTGCTGTCCTCCAAGTTTCATCACACTCATTCACACTGGATAATGAAAATCTCTGAAATCAGCAGCACTTTTCTATTTGTCATTTCCCAATTTAGCAAAACGCAAAGCTGCTTAAGACACAGAAAATCTATTTCAAAAGCTGCTTTAATTGCCTCTGTGACAGTATCAGTTTTGTCCATCAGTTCTAAACAAACACATTGCATAACAAACAGACATGCTTGTATTTATTAAAATGGTTCAAACACATGTGGCCGTTTGCTTAAGTTTATGTTGCTTTTGCTTAAATTTGTTAATCAAAATTCAGTCCAGGATCAGCAGAGACCATTTTTCACATTTTAACCAAAGCTAATGTTTCACACCTCACATATGAGATGTCAGAAATTAAAAACCCTGAGAGATTTTTACTGGCAGTTTAACCCCTCAAACTCTATGGTCTATTTTCAAAATACTTCATAGTCATACTTTATGAGGCATTTCTCAACTTCTTAAACTGCTAATCTTGGTATCAACATACAGGAGGGTCCTGTAGGATGATGCGGATGTAGAAAGAATAATTTATACCACAGCTGAATAAATTTAGTTTAAATGTAAAAAGAAATATCTTTCACCTTAGAAAAACTGAATAAAAAACCTCTGAGTCTTTATATAACGAAGGTAAACACAACGCTCTTGATCCATATTGTTTGGCAGGTGGTCGATAGGTCCGTTTTCGCTAACCTTTGTTTAACGCTAAATTTGATCAATTTGGCCGATAATCCCAGGGTTCCTGTGTGTGTGTGTGAGTGATGCATCTTTTCCAGAAAGGATCTTTGTGGAGAACCTGGGTAGTCTACATAGGTGGAGCTCATCAGTCTCATAAGAGTGCTGGGCTTTAAAGAGCAACAGAGCCTTCACTCAGGGCTGGTCTTCTTTTTTGTTTTGTCGTTTCCTCGTCTCTTGCTTCGCCAAGCATTTTTCCGGCTGTTTTGAGATTTTGTTTGGTTTTCAGAATTTTTTTTTTTTCTGAATTCTATGTAATTAAAGATCAGCCGATCAACCTATTTCATTTGTATATTATGTAGAACCATTGATTCAGTTCAATTCAATTCAGGCTCAGTGTGAGCAGCCATCTGCTCAGACCGACTGGGGTTGAAGGGGACAGAAGCAGACCATTAATTCAAACAGTACCGATGTACAAATACGTGTGTAGCTTGTGTGTAGAGTGTGTAGCGAGGGACTCATGAAAATCTGCTACACCGCCAGTGATTCATTTATGAAATACAGATGTGGGTTTATTGTGATCAGTATAAAGTGACCCTGAACTGGTTTTGGTGCCTATTAGTTATTTTGTTCAACTTCATGTATCATTTCTAATTTATGGTTAATTAAGACAAGCATTAGGAGGCCAAAGTTCAGTTAGAATTCAGTTAATCTACTATCTCTTGATGTCGAAATATATATATATATATATACCGAGCTTGAGGATGACTTACTTTACACATTTTTCTAGCTCCTCTTTCAGCCCTTGGTATTACTCAAGCTTTTCATGTTCTTTCTTCTTGATGTTGCTGTCG